AGCTACCTATCAGCTTACGAGCTGGTTTTGCTCGGCTTTGCTTACGTGCCTCGTTGTACTTGTACATGTGATGACCAATGACACTCTCATCAGCACAATCGATTAGCGTGTTCTTGAAGATTGGGGTCATCTCTGAGAAGTAGTCTTTTAAGTGCTCTGGTGTGCGAATATCACACTCGAGGAAGCCGAAAATTTTATTAGAAACGATGTCCTCGACAATGCCGTCATAAGCCTCGATCGTAGTCAATCGTCCGCATGGCATCTCATTACCAAGTGCCCATAGGTATAGAGCGTTGGCATCGTATCCGATAATTTTCTTACAGAGCTTACCTCCACGAAGCTTCGTCTCGTTGCGCTTAGCGTAGCGATTAAAGATAATAGATGGACCTCCAGCAATGTTGGCCTTCATCTTAGCGTAGATGCACTTTTCCTCCTTATCAATGCTATACACCAATCTGTCCGAGTTGAACTCAAGCAACTTCTTGTAGCGGAATCCCTTGAGCGACATGTCCTTACGGGCGGTGTTGCACTTGATACAGCTAACCAATACGTTGCCATCGATGTGTCCAAGCTTGTTGTTGATACGGTCTGCTGAAGCATTATCGACGGTCAGCGGGCAGTAGCATAAACCACACAGATACTTTTGCTTTTGCAGCAATGTATTCAAGTGAGCAAGTGTCATACCAAATTCCCGCTTTGCCTTAGCATCCTGACTCTTGTAGCCACCCATACGCTGGGGTGAAAATTGGAATGCGTTAGCAGCTGTCTTATCCGGATATCGGAGACTGTTAAAGCAGGTCTGATACATAACTTTTTCACTAAGTCCTGGTAAGGACACACCATCAGCGAACATGTCCAGATCGAAACGCATGAATAGCTCGCGCTGGGCTTTAATAGCCTTGATGAATGGGACTACATCGAGATTGTTGTACCAGACCAGTAGGTCCTTGATGGATTTCATCTCATAGTACTTCCACACGAACTTCACTCGCTCGTATTCATCATCGCTGATGCTTGTTCCACGGAGCTTGCTGTCAAAAGCTGACTTAGGCGGAATAGTAGTCTGGTTGAGTACATTGAACGCGGTGATATACTCATACGGGAAAAGACCCTTGCCAAGACCACAGACACATCTAATTTTGTCATCACATTTGCAGCCACCGAGATATGTCGTAAGATACTTATCGTAGCTGGTACCAGCCGGTACATAGTTGCTAATATCGAGCATTTTCATGTTCGATGTAGCAATGCACATGTAGCTGGGGTTCTTGATAACAGATTTGATGTTGTCAGTACCAATGACGGCGAATAAGTCGCTCCTGATCAAGTTGATATCGTATCGACCCGAATTGAAGCCGATCAATCTGCTGTTTTAGTTTCCCGTAATCAGATCTTAGCTTACCAAAGCCTAGACTGCTATGAAAGTCAAAGAAACTGGCATACTTTCCTTGTTGGATCCAACCCTCGACATCAGACATCTTGTAGGTCTTACCAAGATTGACGCCTGGAACTTCCATACCTGTCAGACCGTGGGCATTGATGATTTTTTGCAGAAGCGACTTATACTTATCGACATTGTATCTTTGGATATTTTCACCAATAGCGCTGATGTAGTTGAACATATCCTTTAGCAAAGCCTTTGGATCATCGTTCACGAAGCAACGAACCTCCTCCGTTAAGCTATCGGCTACTGACACCGACACCGGAATGTGCTCGCTTGTGAAGACAGTATTTTCCCCGTGCTTAGTAGCCGTAGGCTTGAGAATAGCCTCAAAGTCGTAGACGATGAAGTGATCAATGTACTGGTCAGTACCCTTGATAGAATACTTCGTGAGTAGGGAGCCAATGGTATTCTGAGCAGGGCGATAAATCGTTGGGGTAGCTGGGAATGATTCGACATTGACAAGCTCACACTTATTTTTGGTATGGTTCTTAAGCTTCTCAGAACTAACAAAGATCATATCACACTTCGCACACTGATATTTACGCTGAAGCACGTCCAGGTTCTTAATGTATTGAGCATAATTATCGTGCGAAAGGATGTTGATCGAATCGTAGTCCATGTCGGATCGACGAATGCAGTCAACCTTTCCAGAGTCAATATCCATAGTATAGACATTGATACTTAGTTTGAAGCACTCCTCAAGCTCGTCAAACTGTAGAATATCAATAGGCTTGAAGCTTCGATACAGACCGAGGGTGTAGGTAATATCCTTGAATGCACAGTATTGTTGGAAAGCCTGCTTCACCAACGACTGAATCTTCCGTGGATCCTTTTTGGGATCATTATGCTTGTGGAAAGCGATACAGTGAAAGACACATTTGTTGTTCGTCTTAGGGAAGTTAATAACACTTTTATTATCTCGAATAATCTTCGGGATAACTACTTCACTATCTCCCAAGGCGTGCTCGCGATGATATAGAAAAATCTTGAACCCAGTGATAGCCTTGAGCTGATACCCAGAGCTGGGGTAGTTCAGCTTGTCAGCCATCTCCATAGATCGAATCTCAGAAATAACCTTACGAATGTCGCTCCTGCTGTTGATGGCAACAGGTTTGTCGAATACAGAGGTATTGCTGAGATTTGGGTGGAAGTATCTCGTGTCTGAATCATCGGTTTTGCTAACAAGATCGTACCCGAGGGCAACATTTACCTTATAAGCACTTTTCTGACTCTCAAGAACGTTCTCGAGCTTGTCGTAGAACTCACCAGGTTCGATCCCCTCATATAGGTGGGATTCTGTGTGGTTGCCCTTGTAAAAGCGATAGTGAGGATCAGCCTTATAGTCCGAAGACAAGTGCTTCTCCAGCTTATTGAGGCTGATCTTGTACTGCTTAGCCACCAGCTTGAGGTTGCTGGGGCGCGATAGGTTGCTAACATAGACCATCTTACCAGTCTCTCCGCGAACCTTCACCCGGTAGCTACTACCCCATTTAATTGCTCGAATATTTAATCTTTTTAGTCCTTCAAGCTCGTATGCGAACATGCCCGTTATAAATTTACAGCTATATTATCGGTGTGATGACTTTATAATATTGAGATCTTGTATCAGGAACGACTTTATATCACTGGCGACTTTTTTCATCTCAAAAAAAAAATTAATTAGCTAAGTTCGGTTTCAGTGCTAAGT